TTAGTTAGATTAAACAAACGAGATACGTTGAAGTCATGTTTCTTTGAATCTATTCAATTTTTATTTGCTTCTACTAAAACATTTGCTAGATTTGAAGAAATAGATGTGAAATTTCCTACAAATTCCAATCTCAATCAAATAAAACTTTAGTTAAGGTAATGAAATAATTTCTTTGAAATTACGTAAAAGTCTAGTAAGGTCCAAATTCAAAGAAAATTTGTTTGGCTCAAAGAAACTTTTGTCTGGGTTCACCCGTCGCTTCTCTGTTACAGTTAAATATCGTTTTCCTGTCACGCATTTGACGCAGTTCATAACTTAAATTGCACTCTCAACGAGAAGTCAGAGATGAAACTGAACTTTTTCCGATTATTTGTTTACGTGTATATCACATGTAGAAATATGTATCTATTTCCTTTGTAGTAAAGATTTCATTTATTAGTTTAACATCGATGCTAATCTTTTTATTAGCGAAAGCATATTTTTAAAAACGCTTATAATTATTTTACGTGCGAAATAATATTGTTTTATATATTTTTTAATTTTATCGTACGTATCTTCATTGTCAGAAAATGAAAAAATATAATTTCTCAATAAATTTATGGCTTATAATGTTTATTTTACTGAAATACACAAATAATGTTTCTTTCAGTGAAATAATGCACAATATAATCCACAAATTATGTGCCACAAATAAATTTTCAAACACTTTTTCTCAGTGTAGTTTCTCAGTTTTTGCTAGTACGTGTACATCTCTGTACGATGTTGTAGGTATCATTAATTAGTGCTGACTTAGCCTTAAGGCAGCAAATAGTTAATTGACTCGTCGCATCCGTGTAGTTAATTGAGCCAAGTCAATAAACATCATCGAACATACGCCGGTTAAACAGCTCGCTAATGAGAGCAAACAGATACGAGTTAAGTGTGTCCTACAAGATGGTAACGCGGTTCTCGTTTACACGGTATAAAAATGTTTTCCTACGTTCTAGGACAACCATGATAATTATCGTCAAATACATTTTCTGCCATTACATGTTGTACATTTTAAATACCGCTCGATTATAATTATAGAAGAATATTTATTTCATGCGGATAGAATCGCGCCGTGTTGCAACACGCGATACGTAAATTCGGTGGAATTCACGATAATGATAACAATTCGAAATTTAATCTAATAGATTACTCAGCAATTCGAAAGTTGCTTCCGCTGTTAAATATATTTGTATTATCTGCGTACGCGCGCGTGTGTCGCCATTAAGAGATTAATTTTGTCTAAAGTTCCGACGGGAGGTAGGTATTTATAGGAATTTGCTCGAAATTGTGGAAATTCGGGACGGAGAGAATGGCACGCGGGATGCCTCGTGTCTCGTGAAATTCGCCCGCGAAATTGGAGGCTAAAGGGATTAAAAAAAGCCGCGGTGTGCGAAGACGCGGACTGACGTAGCGGAAGCTCGAATCCCGCATTAAACGTTTGAATATTCGATGCAATGTCCCGAAGATATCTTGACAATTTCCCGTCTCTCCCCCCCTCATAGCATCTGACGTAAAGTCGGTGACACGTGTGATATAGACTCGCGAAACTCGAAAGTAATAATATCGACTTAGCGTTGAAACGACAGTTTCAATAGTAGATCGTTTTAGACCTTATGAAAAATGTTTATTGTGTCTCCGGCCGTGAAGATAAAATGTTGAAGTCAAACTCTTTCCCGGAAGATCATATACGTAAATTTAAAAAAAGTCACATTTTAAGGCTCGCAAAACGCGAAGTAGTTTCCTACTTTTCTTCAACTTGTAAAATGTTTGGAATTTAATATATTTTTGGAAAGTTTCAACTCGGAGCGTCGCAAGGACTGTTGATACAAATGAAGGGAGCTGATAAAGTATTAAACTTATGTAAGATAAACCGCATTATATCGCACCGAATGATTTTAACGCGAAGGTGATTTTAGCGCGCTGAGAGGCATCGAAGTCGACGTGGGCGATGGCTCGTCATCTTACCGAACGACATTCGCGAAACTTTCCCGCTTTCTTCCAGGAACGGCTCTGCATATTTCCTGACATTTAAACTTATTCAGCGTAACTTTTGAACGACTTTGAACGACAAGGTGGGGGCGAGAATGTACACCATAGCGCCGCAACGATAACTTACTTCTTCCCTACTTGTCTGTCTGATTTCCCTTCGCTTTAGCCTTCATAATTCCATGAATACCGAATCGTTTCCCTCTTATCTCGCACTTGAATTTTCTCTTTGTGCCGATGGAAACTGGCTACGCACGGAGCCGATTGAGCAAAGAGAAAGCTGCATGTCCCTTCATCTTATCCGCTCGGAAAAGATTACAACGTTATCGTACAGACTCGGGGATAAGAAGTGGATGATAGAAGACGCGCAGAGTAGTATTTTGTAGTTCACGATAACGAAGATTTGCTATGTAATACGCAGGTGTTATATCTATTTTAAACTATTTTATAATCTTGAAACAAGAAATTAGCGAAAGTTTTTAATATAAAATTTTTAATATTTTTTTAATCAGTTTTGACTGCACTGTTTCTCAAGGGTTGAGAACTTCGAATATCGCTAGAGGAAAGTCCTTTATTATAAGTTGGACTTCTAACATGAGATAGTAGGCTTTCGACATTCAAATTCAATCAAAAATCTTTTCTCGCAACGTTTACACGAGCCAACAATGAATTCCCACTAAACGCATTTCACTCTGTATGAAATTCCGCGATAAAGCTTTCGCGAGGATCAATCTTGGCTGTGAGAATGAAAAGGAAACTAAATCTTTGCAGCTACAGAGCAGCATTCCGTACCGAGCAGTTTAAGTTTCTGGCAGTTGAAATGATTACAAGTATGAATAAACTCCGAACTTCAGTGTATAATTGAAGGAAACGGATTTGCGAATTAGTTGTTCACGGCCAAGGGGTCGAAGGTTAGCAAGAGAAATCTAGAACCTTCGAATATACACGCAGAACACAGACCTTGGCTGTGAGAATGGCGCGTCACTCTTACACGCCCCCGAATTGATAGGGAAGCTCAAAAGATACGAAATCAGAAAGACTTTTGATATTCCAGTCTGATCTAACCTTTAGGCTAGATATGCGGAGCGGCGCAGGCCGCTAATATATTGCCGATCCATTGTATAAATTTTCAAAATAAAAGATTTACAACTCACCGTACGATGCGCAACAGCGGAGTTATCTGCGTCGTAAACTACGTTGAACTGTAAAATAAAAAAATATGTTGTATGATTAGTATAAAGTAATTATTAAAAATCGAAATTAAATATATTTTATATGCTCTTTAAATAGATATTTAATAAAATGATTATAAAGTACTCGAGAGAAATCTGTTTCCTTTAAAATATAAACTCGCAAGATCTCAACGTATACTTTTGTGTGTAACTCTTATTCAAATCGTTGGAATAGATAGACGAGCAGAGAGTGCATATTCATTTTGCAAGTAGCAAATAATATTAAATAAAACACCCACCCCAAGGTTGCTCCGCCGTTGCCCGATGCCTCCCCGGGCCTCCTCGTCCTCTCAGATTTCCTTGTTGTACTCGCACAATATTCACTCGCGAGAATGTTTAACGATCGCGCGAAATTTTACGTGACACTCCCGTACACGTCTTGAATACCGCGAAACGTACAATATTTTACAAATGATATTTTACAATCCGAATTGTCAAGCAATCTGATCCTTACGTGAAATAAACTGTGCGAGCGAAACACCCACTACGATCAAGTCGTTTCTCGAAACTGAAGGAAAGACAGATTACACCGAAATCGAAAGATAGTTCAAGGCGCGATGCGTAAACGAGATGTATTCACGATAACGTATCACGATTCACTTTTATATTTTATTAGATAAGTTAATCTCGTAAAATATCTATGTACAGGGTGTTTCGGCAACATACACATCAGCAAGTTGGGTTGCCTATCTGCTTGCCGACAGGGCGACACACTTTATCGGGCTCACAGAATAAGATCAGATGCAAGTTCGGCGGTTTTCTAATTCTTATACAGTGTATGTGCAGTTGTATTTTAATAGACAAAATAATATTATTGTATTATAATTTTATATTATAAAATAAAAAATATTTTTGTTCGAATTTCTTCATTAAATTTTGTATTCTATATTATTTTATCTATTAAAATACAACTGCACATACACTGTATAAGAATTAGAAAACCACCGAACTTGCATCTCATCTTATTCTGTGAGCCCGATAAAGTGTGCCCCTGTCGGTAAGCAGATAGGCAACCCAACTTGCTCATGTGTATGTTGCCGAAACACCCTGTACGTTGACAAAAAGCCGGCGACTCAACGTGCAATTCGTTTATCTTCACAAGTTTTAGAAACTTAATAATCGATCGATGAACGTTACTTGTTACTGACGAAGACGTGCAAATTAACAGAGTTTTATTCCCGTACTCAACGCGATCGCGTTTCGGAAATAGATAACGTAAAAGTAATACTAGGTACGGAGCGACGAACGACACTGCTTGCCGGCTCGAGGTACGGCGAGCGAATGATTGTGCGGCGACCTTCAAGTAAACAATTTCCTACGTAGCGTCGGAAAAACCGCGCGGCAGTGCTTTTGTCCGGGGTGTTTATGACGCTACGTCATTTCTCGGAACCGGAGCTCGGCGATTAACGGCCGGAATGCAAAAACTTCTGCGATTGATAACCGACGAAATTTTAACATACACGGCGGGCAACAAATTCACGTGGCTTTTACGCGTTGTTACCTGTTCGATTTAACTTCGCGGACGAAGTTGCGCGTTCACGTTGTTACGAAACTTTATCATCACCGCAACAATTATATTTTCCTTATGATGCATTGATAAAAACTAGTTGCAGCCGGAACGAATTGCAAAATTCGCTCCTATAATATCGTAATTAGCGAACTCGTTGGTCAGCTACCGTGCTCGATCTGACCTCAGTTTTAGCATTTTAAAGGGGGGGAAAAAAGCAAAGACCACGCGGATTACGTCGGGGGATCGAGAATAGTGAGAAAGTTTCGCTTCAATTGGGTGAACGACGCCGACGCTTTCAGGCGACGCCGGAAATCGAGAGAACGTGGCCCGATATCCTTCGTGTTCCTGTTCGATTTAACTTCGCGGACAAAGTTGCGCGTTCACGTTGTTACGAAACTTTATCATCACCGCAACAATAATATTTTTACGTTAGTAGTAGCAACTCTGTTAATCCCAGACGAAGCCGGGCGCGACTCTCGCTCGCGTTCTTGTGATACTAGTTGAATTAAGTTCAATGAGCGAAATGTAGAATCACCTTTTTCATTCGTCCCACCGTAATTTTACGTCGTAGTTTTAAGAGACGGCGAGACCGATGTAATATTTTAATGCTCACGAAACCAGTAAGTTTTGCAATTATTTGATAAAACGATATTTGCTGCGAATTAAACGAAATCCGTTATTGAGCTCTACAATATAACAATTTCGAATCGCGGCGCAAAATTGTATATATAATTCGCGCGTCGAAAAACTCACAATCAGTTCCACTGATTCTCTGTGTAAATATACCTTCGTTCCGCTGACTTTCGATCCACCGATTCTCCTACCCATTGATTCACAAAATTCAAATACCATTATGTACTCGTGGCGAACAAATATTTTTTTTATGAAAGAATAGCTTAATCAAAAATGCCTGAACGGGTCACGTTTCGCAGAGCAGACCTTTTGAATCTCGAAAATGGCTCGCGAAACGCTTCACGGGCTAAGGTACACAATTTACCCGCAATTATTCCATTCTATCGAATTACGGTAATTAAACGTAATTGGTTGTATGTACGTTGTATCGCGCAAGTGGCGAAAATTATCTGTCGCGTCAAGGATTCATGTAATTTAAACGTAGATGCACTTTGGTTGGCAGACAACGATGGCCACAAGTCGCTCGAAATTTTCAAGTCGCGTGAAAAATTCAGATCACTCGCGCGCGCGAGGAGTCTCATTTTTCCTACGATGCTTAAGCCACGTTGCTTTTTTTCCCATTGTTTCAGACATGCATTGGCTCGTTTGCACCTGCATCCTCACGGCGACGACGGTGCTTTCCTGCCGGCAGAGCGAGTTTCAGTGCGCCAACGGGCACTGCGTCGCCCTCAACAAAGTCTGCAACGTCGTCGACGACTGCGGAGATGGGAGCGACGAGACGCGTCCATGCTCGCGTGAGTGAAACCTTTCGACCCCCTCGCGATCTCGCGGAAGACCCGGAAGGGGCTTCTAACGACAAATGCGTATCCACGCGACAAACTAACGCGGAAACCGCGGATCGGTGGTCGCTGAAATTACACGTGTTGGAGAATTTTCCCTTAAAATTTACCCTGAAAATCATAAGATCCTGCGACAACATGGCATCTCGAAGAACTTTGGTACTTTGCTAGTAAAATGTATACTATAAGTAATTACTATACGTAGAGAATTTTCTCTTAAATTATCCTTATTGTCCTGAAAACCGTGCGATTGTAGGACAACATTTTTGAGCAACTTTATGAGAGCTTTTCCAAATTTTAGTATAATTGTTTGTAAAATGTGTGGTCAAATTTCAAAGGACTCATAAAATTCCTCGAAATGCCGTATCGTCCCACGATTATATAATTTTCAGTGCTACCAGCTACACTTCTGGTAAATCCTAAAGGAATTCTGATTCGTCCAATTTCTAACAGACGACTGGTGGAATCCGTCAGATTTTTTTTTCAGTGTGCGAATCTAGAGGATCGTAGGGAAGAAATGTTGGAGACGAACGAAAAGTTTGACGAGTTGCCTGATTAGGTGGTGAAACAAGTTAAAATTTAAAGGGAAAGCCCGTCGCCTTCTACGTATTTTCGCGGTGACTGCAGCTCATGTTAACGGCCTGTAAACAAAGCTGTATTTGCAGTAACAATTTATCCCTCTCTACACTTTAATTAAATGCTTTCCTTTTTTTTCCCCGCCGCGAACTAATCCAGTTTGCGCAGGCGGCCGAATCGCGGATCAAACGTTCGTTTCCAGCTCGCAACCGCGGGTATTTTCGTCTCAATTCCCCATTGCCGGGGTGTTCCAGGACGGTAATTGATCCCTTCATTGTTCACTGGCAGGTAGCTTCGATGCCCGGCTTCGAAACGTGCCTTGTTGCGATTGCCGGCAAAGGCGGCTGGCGTGCGCAGGAATTTCTACTTCGTTAGAAACGCCGACCTGCCCGCCTGCTTTCTTCCCCCGCACGAATCAGTCGATGCCTCGGTACTGCCTGGCAACGTGTAAAGACAGAATGAAATTCCGGCGATGTTACAAGAGTGATATTACAACGTAGCCCTCAAAGAAGGATGCTGACGGAAGCACGATATTTCACGCAACGCCGTGTACTCGCGAAAATATGTCAAAATTGCGAAATTTTGAAACGTTATATGTATATAAAACAATTAAATATCGCGGATACAAATACGGGGCGGTCGAAATCGTAGTATTGCACAATCGCGAAAAACGGGATAGACGCGTGAAGAGCTGCAATTACAGGAAAACTGGTAGAAGTTAAAGGCAGACCGAAGCTTTCTCATAAAAAAAAATAAAGAAATAAAAAATAAAAGTCGCAATTATTTACTCGCAAATCCATTCGTAGTCCCCTATTATTCATACGTGGAGCCATATTTGTGGCAATAATTTAATAACGCTCCTGTTGCTTTTCCGTGCAAATACTCTCTCTCTCTGAAAGTAAAAATTACCAGGCCATTAAGGGGATGCTGGAGTGATTCTGCACTTTTGCACCTTTCTAACCTAAAAACTGTCAGTTCGCGGAAACATTTGTGTAATATACAAATTAAATGGCTTACGTGTACAGATCGAAAGCAGCTTGCTATTCCGGTCAAATGAAAGAACAATATGGCATCACTGAAACTA